TTCCGTTAAAAATCCACCGTTAACTCCTAGAGAGTTAATGACATGACAAAAATTTAAGACACATCAGATAAAAATGATGACATGGCAACATGACAGGTTATATTCTTGCCATGGAGCCCATCAAAATTATAATTTTACCCTCATCTTCTTCCTCTAGCATCTTCTTTCTCAAATATTTTTCATTCATTCTTCTTTTTCTCTCTCTTTTCCTCCTCCGAGACAACTTTCATCACTATTTTTCTAAATCAAACAATTAATTCAATGAAATGGAATTCCATTCTTCATTAATCAATTTTTTTTGTCATCAAACAACAAAACCCACAAAAAAATTTTTTTTTTTAACCCAACACCTGGGTTTGAAAGAAAGAACCCAAGAGTGGGTTTCAAGGAATCTAGCGCTTGGGTTCCAAGGAACCCATGCCTAGGTTCGAACGAACCCGCACTTAGTTCCAAGGAACCCAGCGGCGACTATTAGGTTCGATGGGTTCTAAGGGGAAAGGGTAAAGAAAAAGGGAAAGAAAAAGAAAAAGAAAAAAAGAAAGAATTTTTTAAGTTTTATTTTTCATATTATTTTTATTTTTATATTATTATTTTTTCCATGTTATTATTTTTTGCCATGGTCATCCATGTGTATTAATATTTGCCACATCATCATGTAACCGTGAATTAACAACACACGTAATGAGATTTTTAATGAAAGGACTAAGTTGAAGTTAAAATGATAAACAATAAAGATCAAATCAAGAATTTTTTAAGTTTAAGGACCAAATCAGGAGTCCGTACAATAGTTCAGGGGCCAAATGGAGTTTTAACCTTTAAAGAAATAAGTCTTATTTTTATAATTCAAATGATTAAATACACATGTTCAAACGATATAAAATAAGAAAGAGAAAAAATTAAAATGTTTTGATATTTAAAATATCAAGATATTTAATTACAATTATTAAATATATAAAATATAATATAAATTTTATTAATTTTATCAAATTTATTATATAAATATTATTAAATATTATTATTTTAAATATCAAAACATATTAATTTTTCTATTCCCTACAAAATAAATAGCACATTTTGTTAGTTGAGGCAGTTATTGCAATCCACTTTTAAAGGGTACCACATTTACTTGGCATGCATGATAGATCATCATTGTGGACTTGCACTTCCTTTTCTTCTCTAGAATCCCCACTTCCCCTTATAAATTGGAAGAAGGGTGTACACTTCAATTTTCATGTTGAATACTTTAATACTACACATGATGTTTCTCCTCTACTCTTCTTTATCAGGTGCTCTAAAATTTTCTGTTCTTGCACTTCTCTTTTATGGAGGTTGCGAGGTGACCGTAGCTAAGAATGCAACGTTTCCTGCGCTCATTGCGTTCGGGGATTCCATTTTGGATTCAGGGAATAACAATTATCTCAGTACAATAGTCAAGTGTGATTTTCCGCCGTATGGAAGAGATTTTCAGGAAGGAAAACCAACAGGAAGATTTTGCAATGGAAAGATCCCATCTGACTTCTCAGGTACACAGCTTCAATTCTCTCCTGACAACCTAAAACGTTTTTTTTTTCCTGATACATCAATGTAATGGTGCAGCTGAATTCTATGGCATTAAGGAATTGTTACCACCTTATCTTGACCCAAATCTCCAGCTACAAGACCTCCTCACTGGAGTAAGTTTTGCCTCCGGTGGTGCCGGATACGATCCTCTCACAGCTAAAATCGACGTAAGTATAGAACAAAAATGTTTTTGCAGTCGACCCTGCACTTAAAAACATCAGTTTGGGGTTAATACATCCCTTAACTATTCTCGTGTATGAAATATATAGAGACATCTCTCCCTCGGCTTAATCTTTCTTTACAATCTACTTAATTAACATTTCCCCTCTTGTTTAACTCATTCTTTTTCTGCTTGTATTCATTTTTCTTTCTTAGTCTGTTTTATCGTTGTCCGATCAACTCGAACTGTTCAAAAAATACAAGGAGAAGATAAAGTCAGCATTAGGAGACGAACAGACTGTTACTTTTCTTTCAGAAGCCCTATTTCTTATCTGCTGTGGAAGTAATGATATTGCTAATACTTACTTTTCTACTTCACGCCGGAGCACTCACTATGACATTGATTCATACACTGACTTAGCAGTCAACTATGCATCACAATTCTTCCAGGTATGTACAATGATATTTGGTAGAAGTGTAGAAAATAACGTTCCAATAAGTTCGACATTAGCATGAAAGACCATCCTAACTGATGTGTGAGCTTAATTTGGTTGCAGGAGCTGTACGGGCTAGGAGCAAGGAGAGTTCTAGTTGTGGAGCTGCCGCCAATTGGGTGTGTACCGTTACAAAGAACACTAGGTGGAGGGTTGACAAGAGGCTGTGCAAATAAATTAAACCATGCAGCATTGCTCTACAACTCCAAGCTCTCTGCCCAAATGGATTCTCTCAAGAACAGTCTTCCAGGCTTCAAAATTGTCTATGCAGATGTCTACAATCCACTTCTATCCATCATCCAAAACGCCAAACAATATGGTCATTTAACTTTACCCGTTACCCGAATTGATTTTAATTCAACTCTTGTTTGACTTAAATTTCCAAAAATTTTACAATTAGCAAAATAGACATTGAGGATCTTGTTGTCTTTGGATTCAGGGTTTGAAGAGGTGAATAAAGGCTGTTGTGGCACGGGCAACATAGAAGCGGGCATACTGTGTAACCATCTCAGCGATGAGCAAAGCTGCACAGATGCGTCCAAATTCGTGTTTTGGGACAGCTACCATCCCTCGGAGAAGGCTTACGAGATCCTTACCACTATGATCTTAAATCAACACACTAAGGAACTTCTATGATCTCAAGGATTTTACAGTTACAAATTTACATAAGCATTGTTCAAAATGGAAAAAACTGTAAAAGACTTGCCTACAAATACCAGATAGCTAATGCATCAAAGACTTTTAGAAAGGAACTGTATAAGAGTTACCTGTAGTCTACTAAATCAACTAGTCTAAGAAGAAAACAACCCACAATTCATTCAAACATATATAGAAGATATACAGGTAACCAGTTCCAGATAATATTAATTATTGCAAGCCACCATCATGATCTTTGAATCACTAATGCAGATATATATGGAATTCTATATCATATAGCTCTGCCACCGCAAAGCCAAAGCTACAAAATTGCATACCACCTAACTACAATCACCTATAACTACGAGAAATGAGCTATACACGAGTACGAGAGATAGGATAAACAATAAGAAAATAAATCAGAGAAGCTTATTCTCAGCAACAGCCTGGCATAACTCATCCTCATAGAATAGCACACGATCGGAAGCAACAGATTTGTATAAGGGCTTCGAGAGAACAGAAGGTACCATACACCTAGACAGAATCTTGGAAGAGTTTAGCAAAAAACTTGTCTCAACTCAGTGGCCTTATACACTACTAAAATGCAGGCCTTCAGCAACATGGAAGTACGTCGGTGAAAGCCTTGAACATGTTGCTGAAAATAATTCACCAATATATACTTCGTCTGTGATTTCTTTGTGGGAGATGCTTGCTTGGTAAAGCATTATCAACAAATGGTACGTTACTAATTTATGCTACCCTTTTCAGCAACATGTGCCATATGGGTGAAAATATAGTTTCACTGACAAGTATTAGCAGACTAAAATTAGTCATTAGAATTCCTCAGTCTTGGTCACCAGAAGTGTGCACCCTATTCAGCAATATATACCATGTCGATGAATATATGGTTTCATCAACAAGCATCATCATGCTATATAATAGTCACCAGAACCAGACACCTAAAGGGTGCACCCTATTCAGCAACATATGCCATATCGGTGAATAGTTTCTTTAGCAACATATGCCATGTCGGTGAATCTCTCCTAAGGTGGTCAACACTCCATATTCAACAACATATGCCATGTTGGTGAAAGTCTACTTTCACCAACATAGCATACAATGCTAATTTTTTTGGTCCATTTAAGGTACTACTCCATCAATTAGGTACATGAATCACATCAGTGATGTTTCAAAATGCTATATTTCTAATGAATTCACTGATAAGGGATATGTTGCTATTTCATACTTTCACCAATATAAAGCACACTTTTATGTTATTTTACCTTAAAAAAAATTTAAATTTCATTAATTCCTTTTACCAATACTCTATCCACATATTAAATCCATTCCATCACCACTAAACTCAATTCCACTAACATATATTAAAAAAAATTTATTTACGTTTATTCCATATGTCTCAAATAAATCATTATTAAAATAAATAACAACATTATAAAAGTATAAAAATGCATGACCATTTATTTAATTATACTATCACATTTTTTTTCAAAATCAAAAGAATATTATGATAGAAATATATATATATATATATATTTATATACACCTTTAAGTGACCATTGCAAAAGTAATGCGATTGAATATCCATTTCCCTACAAAATTATTAATAATTATTCATTAGTTTCAATACACAAACAAATGCATTATTTAAATATGAATTTTACTTTATTTTTATAATTACAATCACTATATACTAAATTCAATAATAGTTCACATACAATATAATAAATTGCACCGACAAAAAAATAATTATAATTGAATAGTTAATATTCATATTGACCATTTATATATACAATTTTAATTACATACATTTAAATTAAACAACTCAAACCAAGTCACTTGGGTTTAGGAAGTTTACCAAACTTTAATTTATAATTTTAATGAAAATTACACACAAAACAAACAAAATACCAAAAATGTTAATTCTATCTATATAGTTATTTAAAATATCATTAACTTTAAAATAAATTGAAACAAACTTAATCACTTAATCACTTAATATTTACCAAAATATTAAATACAATAAAATCATAATATATAATCAAGGAGTTAATGAATTGATGCAAATTGAATTAATGACATGTATGAGAATTTGAAAATGAGAAGGGAGGAGAAATGGAGGATACTTGCTCGACAATGGATGAAAATGATTGAAAAATGAAGGCTAATGAAGGATGCTGAAATAAAATGGTTGAGAAGTGGAGGAGATGGCACCATCATCAATTTGCAGATAAGGGGAGAGCATGAGAATCCAGAGAACTGGAGAAGGGCGGAGAAATGAACGAAAGAAATGAGGAGTGCTCTGCAGGCTTATGGGTATGTATAGAGCATTCAACATCATATATTATGTTGCTAAATGTTTACCCGCCACAACCCTCCCAATCATCCATGTATTTCACATTGGTAATAAATGTTTGAAATTCAAAAGTTGAACTTATTACCAATGTGAATTACATTATTAAAATTGGAAAGTAGATTTTTTTGGTATTCATCGACGTTGGAAGCATTGCTAATTGGTTGAAAAGCCTATTGTTTGATACTTATACTTAAACAAACTTTTTTAAGTTTCTAAAATTCATTTTCTTACCTGTTTTTGTTTACTCTACTATTTTTTTTTTCACACTTGACATATTAATTAATAGAATTGCATGATTCACTCTTTATTTAAATGATGTAAACAATCCATTTTATCAAAAAAATTGATGTGGATATAACTTTAAATTTACGTAAACATTTCATATAAAAATATATTTTTTTTTTGAGTCAAACATAAATTCAACTATAGTCAAAAGTTGAATCTAAAATCTAAGAGTCTACTCTGTAAAACCTAGATTTGACTCTTTGTACCAAGAGTCGATTCTTTAACAAATTCTATGACTAAGCCAACTTTTCCCTCCTTCAAGCCAAGAGTGGAATCTTAAAAGTGAGAGTCGAATGTTTAGTATCATGAGTCAATTCTTTAAGTAAAGAGTTGACTATGCCTTGCACCATCAACTTTCTCAACTCTTTGGAATTTAGTAGTTGAATCTTGACCTTTTAGAGTCGAATCTAGATGCCACAAGAATTGAATATAGCTTCTTAGATTCGATTCTTAACTCAATGCATATATTCTTTATCTTTTGCTCTAAAGTCAAATTTGCAATTAAGATTCAAATCTTCTTGCCTTAAGAGTAGAATATAGAGTTTTATATTCAACTCTTTAACCCACTTCTGTAATTTTCCCAACTATACTTTAAGGCATTGTAGGACTTTTTAACTGCATGCATAAAGTCAAATTCATTGAACATCTAATGGGGCTTTGTTATCATCAAATCACTAGAAGCTCAACACTTTTCATAAAAGTATAAGGATCAAAAAGGGGTTTTAACCTTATTAATTTATAGTTCAGCAACATGCCTTACATTGTTGACCCTTAATACTACCCCATCCTCAGAATTTGTACTAAGTCTTCTTGCACTTTGATATTACCCTACTTGCACAGTCATCCATCATCGTAACATGTGTTCCAATTTATCGCATAACTGATAATGTGCACTAATATTATTCCCCCTTGACCTAATCATAAATTAAAACTTAACTACATAATTACCACGTTCTGTATGTAATATGACCATTTGCATGTTTTGAATCTATAATTCATAGTAATTTAGTTAATGTTCTTCCAAACCATTCACTCCTAATAAATATATACAACCACGTTCAAAAAATTAAAATCAGCCATCTAAAACCAAATGTATTTCCATCAACAAGCAAGAATATGACAAGGTCTAGGTATTCAAACTCATGTACAATCATCATATGGCACCAAACAAAACTAGGTACTCTAAATCAAATCTCAACTGGTAAACATAATAATCTTGTGAGGGATTGACCAGGGATGTCTCAGTTAATTCTGAATGTCTCCCTATATGGCCTATAAGGATTCCAGGTCCCATCAGGAGCTGTAAGCATAGCCAAAGGAAATGATGACCTAGTTTTAAGGGGCACGCCCCTTAGGCATTACAAGCAACAAATTGCTACAACAAAGCAACTTGTCTCTTGTAGGCATTAAAATTATTTTGTACATAATCTAATATATATTTTTTCTTACTTATCATCCTTTTCTCATGTATATCAAAACTAACAGATCCTGTAATGTGCGTCACCCTCTCCCTAAATGCTTGGGGTTTTTTTTTTCCCAACTCACTAACACTAGCAAACACATTAGAATCTTAGTATGTGCATAAGTTTGTCCATAAGTTTTCAAGCACCAACATTGGTCTATATTCACTATTCACCCCCCATTTATCACACTCATCCTTCATGTTATTTGCCCATCTTTTCCTCATGGAATTTATGAAAGCCTTGCTCATTGCATCCTAATCCTATATGACCCATAGATATTCTGTGTATAACCACCCAGAAACAAATTTTTTGCAAGTGCATTAATAACATGTACCACAATAACATAGTATATGTACACATTATCTCATTTCAATTTGCCTACTTTGCCTTTTATACATTTGATTTTGCAAACTTTACCCCTTTTAATATTAACTGATATGTTTGACTTTTACATATCATAATGTTGAATTTCTACCTTGGTATTATTGATAATATAATGAGTTGTATGAGATATTACTTGATTTTTATGTATTTATAATTCTTTTAGTATGAAGGACATAATTGGAAGAAATCAGAACTTTTAAGATCATATTGAACAAATCAAAATTGTAAGAATCAATGTATCATATAATGACTGATGAGGGACTAGAATAGTTTTACCAAATAATAACTTAAATTGCATTTTGATCCAAAATCTCGATATGGACCGCCTAGTTACGTTATTTGGTGAAGGTGTTGGTACTTTCTTTAATGTGTTAACATTTGGGCGATTTTCAACTTCTATGCATCTTGCTTTGTTGTTTTGTTGTGAGTCCCACTCTTATTCTAATTTGGCTTTATAAAGTCCTATAAATACTCATTCAAATATCATATTTTGGGCCACTATTGGAGATCAAGATATAGGTGACAACAAGTGATTCATCAACAATAAAAAATCAAGGATTTCAATGACTTTTAATTAGGTGTTGTTTTTCCTTATATCATTTTTATTTGTTATGTAATATATATTCTTATGTTCACAACTTCCATTTCAAGTTTTAATATTTTTATTATGAACTATTTTAGTTTGTTACAACTACAGTATAACCTAATCAATCTACTATAGATTTTTGT